AAATATGTGATTAGGTGTGTTATATTCACCTAATTTTGACGAATCTGAATCTATTTCAACATAATTGAACTTATCTGAATTTATATAAACAACTCTGAAATTTATCTGATTTTATATAAACATATTTGAATTTATCTGAACTCGTAACAATCTGAACCTATCTGAATTTATTTGTATTTATCTGAACTTATTTGAAATTATAAGTAAATATCTGAAATAATCTGAACTTATTAATTTATCTGTACTAATCCAAATTTATTTGAAATTATCTAAACTTATATTAATTTATCATTAATTATCTGAACTAATTTGAATATTTCAAAAATTATCTGAACTTTTCAAAATGTATCTGAATTTATTTGAACTAATTTGAATTTATCTGAACTAATCTGAATTTGTATAAACCTATCTAAAATTATATGATATTATCTGAACTTATAGTCTTGAAATAAGAGAAAAAAAGGTGAATTGAACAAATCCTTATTTAAACATACTTTAACTTCTTTTTTTCTTTGAATGGAATAAGGAGAGGTGATTTCATTAAATAATAATAGTCATTCGCCACTTATAATCATCCCTTAAGAGATCTAAATTCTCAATAACATACTTTAACTTATTAGACCTTATTATAGCTTTTTAGTTGTAATTTATTTAAATTCGCCTAAGCTTTATAAAAACTTATTTTAGTTATACGTCAAACTCAAGTAACATTTATTCATTATTGACCCTTAGTAATGCGGCCTTACTAAATAAGGTATTAGAATTAGTATGAAACCAACATATAATAAATGTGTTGTGATTATTACGAAGGAGTGGTATAACTTCATTAACAATAACAAAAGTCAAACATTACTTAAATTTGAAAATCTTGTATTCTTAATCACGATTTAGATGATAGTGTATAATGAACAATCTTAATACTTCTAATAATCAAGTTGCCAATGAATTGACAATGATAAAAGCCGCAAAGACGACGATAAACGCAAAACAGAAAAGAAAAAGACATTTTACAATGATGTGATAATCACCCGATCAAGGGGATAAATAGTCATTTTCTGTAATAACTTGAGTTGTCAATCTTATAACAATTCTAATAAGCCAATACGAAACTTAATTAAATTGAACCCAACAGACTATATATAGATGAAAATCTCTAATAACAAAAATGACATGACATGTATTTTAATATAGCTAAAACGACTTGAAATGAGATTGACCTGAATTCAAATTAGTCGACCCGAAACCAAAACTAGCTAAAGTAAATTTAACTGAGAATGAGGTAATAATTGAAGTAACCATATTCAAATTTTAACTGGAACTGAATTGATTTAAACCAAGATCTAATCGAATTCGAAATGATCCGATCCAAAGTCAAATAAGTCCATTTTGTCCCAAATAAACCCGATAAAATACGGATCCGACTTCATCTTAACTCGATATGACTCAACCCGAATTTGACTTGACCCAAGTTTGATTTGTATCCGACCATGCTTGAACTCAACTTTAACCCGAATTTGATTAAGCTTAACCCGATTTGATTTGATTTGTTAGATTTAAATGACCCATCATTACCCGACCCAAACATCCCGACCCGTCGTGGGTCTACCCAAACTCCATCTGGGTACCCGATTTGACACCTCTATATGTAATCATAAATCTTTAAGAATTTACACAATAAAATAAAATTCAAATCAATGACAAATTAAAAGTTACCCTTGATTAAAGTAACTATAAAAATAGTTAAAGTTAACCTAAAACTCACCGTCTTACAATAAAATTAACGTACACTTGCCTTACACAAGACTTATTGTTATTTTATTCACAAAATATCCTCAAGTACAACTTTCCTCTTAATGTCTTCATTTTTAATTCTATCCTCTTTAAGGTTTTTTCACACATCCATCACAACATATGCGACTCTACTACTTCCATCTTCCTAATATAATATGATTAATTTTGAATGCCCATTTTTCTGACCCATAACATTTGACAAAACTCTTTACATAAATCATTTGAAAATTCGCAAGGTATTTCTTTTTCTTTTTTAAAAGTACATTTCAATGGCTTACCGCAATGCAATAATATTATTTTATTTATTTATTTATTAATGAGACATCGTATAATATATATTTGTGAGGATATCTTTGGCAAATATTATCTATTGTATTTTAGTTAACTTCCTAGGATTCTAGCATATCTTTTGATTTTATTGTTAGGAGGTGTAACTATTATATATATGACATTACGATCAATGAGAAATTCAAACCATTCAATTCTATTTTCTATCTAATTTATCATTTTTTTTTATTTTTTTTTTTGGTGTGCAATAATATTATTATGATTATCAATTTCAACCAAATATTTATTCAAAATATCATAGAATGTTCCATTTAACTTTCATCTAAGAAGGCTACAATTAGTCAAAATTAATAACATTAGAATATTCAATTAAAGATTAGCTTCAACGGTGTAACCTGAAGAATAGTCACCGAGTAGTTAAGACCCAACACCAAAATAATTATAAAAATCAACATAATAATATGAAGGTGCGCAGATTGTACTACATTTTTTATTTTAATACTGAAATGGCAGGACTACAAGTATTCTTATTTATTCTATAAATTCAAACATAAGAACATCTCAAAGATTTGTACACTTAATCTTTTAAAATACAAAAATGAAGTACCCTTCAATGCTAATATCCTCTCTAATCTTCTCCCTCCTCATCTTGCTCGTCATCGAATCAACTATCGCTCAAGAAGTTGGTAATATATCCACCTTCCATTCTATTTTATTTTGAAGTACTCCGTATTATATGAACTTTTATATAGCATAATATTTAATATTTTTTAAGATCCGATTGGAAGGGCCGTCGCTCAACGTATAAAAGTGGATAAAAGTTATACAAGGGTAAGTTTTTGTGTACTTATTTTTAAATTTTGATTGGCAGATGATGAAACAGAATTTGACTATATAAGAGGAAGTGAAAGAGGACCAGATAAATGGGGACACATAAAGGAAGAATGGGCGACTTGTAAAACGGGTAAATTACAATCGCCAATTGATTTATTACATCGGCGAGTTCAAGTATTGCCCAGATCTGAAGAAATTGTCAAGTTTTATAGGGCTGGTAATGCTACCGTCAAAAACAGGGGACATGATATTATGGTAATTTTCTAATCCTCTTTTTGGCTTTTCTTTTTGAAGCAATTTTATTTTATTTATAATATCTTACCTTTTCAAAATTAGATTCTTTATGATTGCAAATTTTTTTTACAGTATTTTTTTTGTATCGTAGAAAAATCTGTCAAAGAGTTATATTGTAGATTTGTACTAGTAGTCGTAGAAAAGTATGTTTACTCTGTTATGTCTACAATATATTTCGTTTTTCACGTATGGCTACCAATTTTAAGTTGGGCACCGGCTGTAACATGTAGGCCCATGTGTTACGTTTTGTGCCCAACTGCCCATGCATAGTCTAAGCGCGTGCCGTGTCATGCAACTGAGCCCTGTTAATAGTTACATTTTTGTCAACTTGGAAAAAAAAAAACAGAGGGTTGGCAAGTTGTTCTCGTGACGGGTTCACGCCAAATTTCATTCGAAAATGATATCCATGCATGGCCCATCGACGGGTCTCTCATGTTATGTCAAGCATTTTTGTGCCATGCCTAATCGATCTTTATGTTAGCCTAGCCCATGTCCATCATATTTACCAATTATATATGACAAGTAGAATCCAAACATAAATCAATAGAGGATCTTTTATTTTACTCAACACGAAGTAACTTATTTGCTTCACTACATCTTCATGGGAATTGGGAAACCCCATACTCCCAAACATATACAAATGATGGGGCTCGAACTTGTAACCTAAAGGTGATTCCTCACCATTTCCACCAAACAAACTCTGTTGTTGCTTCTCTCCACTGGCCTAATAGTAATTTTTTTTTTCATTTTAAAGTCAGGAACCTTGATCAGATCTAAAAACTTTAAGATAATTAATTATACTCCTAACAAACTCTTAAATCTTACCCCCATTTTAAAGCGTATTAAATCATGTGAACTCCACTTTTTAAAGGTTGTGAAAAAATGTGTGTTGTAAGTATTAAATTACGATAAAGTATGTTACAATACAAAACTATATTAATATCTTTTAACTACTCCGTGTTTGAATAAATGAAAGTTCAATCCTTTCTTAGCTAGTTGCCTGGTATGAAGTATCTTATTCCATATCTCAATTTTTTTTTTAATCAAATTTTCAAAATTTTGTAACAAGAGAAATAATTTTGTATTGCCAGATTGAGTGGGAGGATGGACACAGTACAATTGAGATGAATGGCACTACTTATATCCTTAGGCAATGCCATTGGCACTCCCCATCAGAGCATACTATTAATGGCATTAGGTATAACTACTCATTACTGTATTCAAATTATATTTTTTCTTATACATATTTTTGCATGTTGATTGGTAATAAACTCTTTTTTCTCACAAAAGTGAATATTAATAAATTAATGAATTGTGTTGGAACAACGAACCTAGGTTTGCTGCAGAGTTGCACTTGGTACATCAAAGCTTAGATAACAAGATTGCTGTTATTGGACTTCTTTACAAGCTTGGCAAGCCTAATCTTTTCCTTACAAAGGTACGGAATTGAAATCATATATTTATACTCCATTTGTTCAAAATTAATTTTTTTAAGTGGAGCAAGCTAAGTAAATAGTAGAAAACTTAATACAAACTCTATATGGTACTATTGGTTTATAATTTTATATGCAATACTTTCCAGATAAAAAAACATATGAGATCTAGCTTGTTGGACTCACATCAGCAAATATTTATAACAACCAATTTTTTATAAATTTTTTTTTTATATAATTTCTTTATGCTGAACAATATAAATTATGTATTAATAAGGGGGAAAAAATAAAAAAGTCCTCTCAAAAAAAAAATAAAAAAAAAATAAATAAATAATTCCTAAGTCATAAACGGAGAAAATATTTCTTATATGCTACAAAAGTTATTAAAGGGTTGATTTGCAATATTCCATCATTTTAAAAATCGTGAAAAAGATGGTTTTATTTTATTTATTTATTTATTTTTTATTTTTTATTTTTTTGGTATTTTAGTGGCTATCATGGTTATGCTTAATAATTCATCTTATCTTATGTGGTTTGAGTTGAATATTTGATTTGGCAAAACTTTGACATCAATTGTCCATTCAATCTGAATATATTTAGTTTCGATTGTATTAATCTGTATTGGCCAAATATGTAACCTTCATTATTTTTACATATATTCAATTTTTTTTTTACAGCTAATGAAAAAACTGGAATTAGTACCTCATGCTCTAGACAAGACAAACGCCGGTGAAATTAATCCAGGTGAAATAAAGTTTAGAGGAAATAAGTATTACAGATACATGGGATCTTTAACCACTCCTCCTTGTACTGAAGGTGTCATTTGGACTGTCGATAAACGGGTATGTAAACTTTATCAAAAACTATGTACGTTTTTCTTTAATATTTGAAACATTAATAATTTTTATGCAAGTTTTATAAAATAATTTCCTTTTCTACAGGTTGCCACAATTTCGGAACATCAAGTAGCAATGATGCGAGAAGTTGTTCATGACGTAAGTTAAGAGTACAAATATATTTTGTAGATTTAGTATATATGATTCTTTATAAATGAATTGATCTTCTTTCACACAAAGTTTCTAGCTTTATAAGACAGGGAAGAACTAGCTGAGTTGATAACTACTTGCATATAATAAATGGATGTTAATTCTATTTTCCTTTGTTTGGGTAGGATGCGGAGAAAAATGCAAGACCAGTGCATCCAAAGAATGGAAGGAAGATTCGCCTTTATACAACAACTATCAAGAGCCATAACGGAGATAATTAGGAGTAAATTACCATTATTTTTTGGTACAATATTTTGTCATATTCGGTATCCAATTGTTGGGTGTACATCTATTGCGAGTATTAAAATTACAAATTGTGCGAGGATTTAACTCGGCAGAGCTTTCACTTAAACTTTAAATAAAAATAAAATAGTGCATTATTTTGAATATATGTGTGATTATGGTAACAAAATATCAAATTGGTTTGACTGCACACAATAAATTTGGTATTCATAACGGATTGAATCTAGTCGTGCCCGCTTTTAAAACTTTTTTAGCTTTGTAAAACTTGAAGGTACTAATAAATAATTAATACTTCATTTGTTTCCTTTTACTTAAAACATTTGAAAATTCCATTATTCATTAATTTTCATTTAATCCCCTTTGCTAATTTATATGTTTGGTAAAAAATGTAAAATGTAGCTTAGTCATGTGAGATCTTGTTACATACATTATATTATTAATCTTTATATTTTTACTTATTAATAATTATAAGAAGTGCAAAGGGTTAAAAAATTCAAAACGTTGCAATGAAATGAGAGTCGATGAATAAATAATTATTAAAAATTGAGGATGTAAACATGTGAGAAGATAAAATAATGTAAGATTCATTGATGAAAGTATAAATCAAGTGAAAATTACAAAGTGAAAAGTAAAAAATATCCTATTTCAGGATATTGTCTTGATTATTATATAAGTCATAAAGGAGGAGGTGGAGTAGATAGTTGGTGTCCAAAGCATAAACAACCAACAATATCTTCTTTCGCTTTATAAAATGATATATTCATTGTCAATGTTTGATAAATCTTAACATAATGTTAAAGGACAAAGTCAACGAACTAAAAAGCTTAAGCTGATAGTTTGAAACTCAGGAGTATGTTTTATACTCTATCACGTCCCCTCATATCCAGCGCTTAATGAAAGTAAGGGTGGATGAGATTTGAACCCTTGACCTTGGAGTCAAGCTGGCTCCGATACCATGTTAGAGGACCATCTCAACCTAAAGCTTAAGTTTTTTGTCTAGTTGGTCCTCTAGCATGGTATCAGAGCCTAACCCACGGTTTGGACCTTTAATGGCTTGAGTATATTGTCAGGCCCATGTTTGGACCTTTAATGCATTAAGTCTTTTGGGCCAAATTAAATTGGATCATGTGATCCTTGAGTTAATTAAAAGGACCTTACATGTGAGAGGGAGTGTTGAATTATATCCTACCAAATAACACATTAAGATTATTTTGATTTTACCACCCAAAAAATTACCCATATTTTGAACTAATAACCACCCATTTTAATTTTTATTTTAAATACCACCAAACAAAAGACAAATAATTAGATCTCAATACCGCTTTAATATTTTCCATCAATAAAACCGCTAAATTTAACGTTGTTGTAATTTTTTCTTCGATTTTCGGCCAAAAACATGCTTTTAAAAGTTTTTGGGGTGACAAAAACATTATTAGATATGCCTCGTTTTGTGTACTAAAAAAATACAAAATGAGGCATTTTTTATATATTTTTTTGTCAATTTTGACCTCAAATCGGACTTTTTTGGACTGTAATGACTCCAAAATTGACTCTTTTGAACTCAAAATGACACAAGGAGAGATTTATAAGTATTACTCCCTCCGTCATAGAATATCTAGAACGTTGAAGTGGCACATTGTTTAAGAAAAATATAAGTGGTTCCATTTAAAATATTTGTTTAATTTATTGTATAAATGATTCTTTATATATTTTTACTAGTTGTGGGTGCACCCGCAACGCGGGTGCCCCCCAATTTGGTGAAATCAAACGCGAAATAGAGAATGTGCCATTTTTTTATTTATTTTTTATTTTTATTATTATTATTATTATTATTATTATTATTATTATTATAGTGGTATGTAATTGTAATACCCTGTAAATTTCTTCTTTTAAAATACTCATTTTACTCTAAATAAAACCCTTTTTAGGAAATAACCAAAATATTACCGCCACCGAGATAATGGCTAAGGCAAATTTTCAAAGTCACACAACGGAAGTCTAAAACATAAATCAACTTTTAAAGTAAAAACTTGAGTTCACAACCTCAAAACAAAAGTAGAATAAATCATTCACAAGTTGGAACCAATTCAAACATGACCCTTCTTAAAAATCAATTAAAAATAAACACAATAACGTTAGTCCATTAACAAACCAATAATTCAAAAATATCAAAGCTAAGAAACATAACAAGTAACTCTTTGCACTCATTCCCATCATGTTGTTCATGTTTCAAGTACCTGTTACTTTTTCTTTATTTCAACCCCTCTATTCACCATATAAATGGTCATAGTAGGCCAATCCAAAGGAAAGCCAAACACAAACACAAAAGTACGAATCAACAAAAGCTGAGTACATATGCACCACACTAACATGAATATACTAGCATCAATTAAATAATTAAAACATGTTTACCATACAATCACAAGTCAACTTACCTTTGACTTATAACTAGCAATATTAATTATTAATTATAAATTTGGATTACACATCGAACGGGTTTTTTCCTTTAAAAATAGCCCATTAAACATGGAGCTTTCAATTAGGAGGTACCCCAATTGGCACCTACTATGTCACACTTGTGACGAAAATACAGTAATAATAAAATAAAGTACAGCGTCCTGTACCCCTGCAAAAAACTATGGTTAAATATAAAACCCCATAACTCCCCCCATGTGTTCATACTCAAGGTATATATGTTCCAAGAGTTTTGGTGCGTATCCTCTTTACACTTTACGTGATTTACCAATTTAACTCGTGATGACTCTAACCAATAAATCAAGAACAAACATGGCAACAATCAACACATACTTCCAATTCATTCTTGAATTAATTAGTCAGCACATACTATTTATTTTAATTAAGGTTCTTTGTCTAGTTTTGTGCACAAAATTGCACGATTACTACCTTGGTGCATAATATGCACTACTAAACTTCCTTGACTCAAACTCAACTTACATGAGCGAGTAAATAAATAAACTTACTTCTTGACTCAACACCAATAATAAATGGGTGAGAAATAAATTCATGATTCATGCTCAATTATTCTAATTTTAGCTCTTTTAAACATACATTAGCCTTACTTATTAAATTCATGCTTTTTTTGATACTTGAAAATAAAACATACTTCCATGATTCCTACATATTCAACTTGTATCATGCCTCAAATAACATATTCACATGATTGCATAACAATTCATGCTCAACCAACATCAATTCCAAGCATATAATCAACCAAACATGCTACTAATTCATCACTTAAATCATACTTTACAACCCTAGCATGATACTATGCATGCACAAACATTCTTGTGCACATACGTACCTTGAATAGTGCCTAAACTCGGCCACACTCGCTAGAAATCACCTAACTCAAAGCTTCCTACAAATAAGAATACATAACTATAATTAATCCACTATTCTCCCAAATTTCTAGCAAACTATAATACACTTTAAACCTTATTAATCAACCCAATTTAATGACATAAAAGCCATAAAACCTTTTCTTTAAGTGGGTACTTTAAATCCTTTCAAAAAGACTTAGTTTTTATGACTAAATAAAATCCCATCACACTTATTTAATATAAAATATCAATAATAGACTAGGAAATCATATTTAAATTATTAAAACCTTTTCCTCTTTTATGGGTAATTAAACCCTAACACAATAATTAAAAAGTAGTGTGTATAATTAAATTCCAGTGTTAATTTGAGGGCTTTAAACTCATTAAAAACATGTTTAAACAATTAATTAAACAATAACAATCTAGGATCAAACCCTAACCATATACATTAAAATTTCAAATTCTAGGGTTTATAAATTAGGGTTTTTGATTAAATAAAAATCTGAAATTTATATGGATAATTTAACAACATCAAATACCCAAAATCAATATCAAAACATAATCAAAATCATGCTTTAAATTAATAATATAACTAGAATTAAATTAGGAAGAGAAAAGAGTTTTTTTTAACAATATCGAACCAAAAGCAAAAGGAGAGAGAAGGAGGGTGGCTGGCGGGTGGTCGCCGGTGGCGCAGGTGGCTGTCGACCGTGAGGTAGGAGAAGAGGGAGAGAGAGGCGTGGGAAAAAAGAGAGAAAAAAGAGAGGAAAAAGAGAGAAAAAGAAGAAAGAAAATAGAAGGAAAACTTTTGGGGTTTTGTGAAATCTGACAATTATGATTTTTGACTGAAAAATCTTGGGGTTTTAAAGTATTTATACTTCCCTTTTAAAACAAAAACTCATAATTATAAGACTGCCATTACTAAATCCTACTCCCCCTTAACTTTTTCCTTTGGGGTCAAGTTGTTGGGCTCTTAAGGGTCCTCAATTTCCCAACAAGTTGATCCAAGTATTTAAATAAGGATGACCCAATTCAAAATATTTTTATTGCCTCAAATGATGACTCATATTATTTTATACACACTTACATAATATTTAAATAATTAATATCTGTTAAAATGAAATGAATCAATTTAATTTATAAAAATAAATAAAATATATAATTTATATACATGAAAATATTATAAAAATACGGAGTATTATTACAGTAATGCATTCCCATGGTTAATGAGGTTAGGCGAAAAGTTTGTATCATATTTGTCTTAATTTTATTAGTGTGGGATGCATATGTTTAAAAAGTAGAAGAAAGTTTGTTTAAGGAAAAAAAAGGTAACAGTAACAAGTTAAATCGGAAAAGAGGAGAACAACATTTAATAATGTTGTGTATACCATTGTCTACTATCAAACTAAAAAGCGGGTGATTAGGTATAGTGTAGTTTAGTATTTTAGTTGGATTAACTATATATAGTATTTTGTGGTAAAATACAAATTGTGGATGTAATTAATTTTGAGATTGTTCATATTAGTTGTTTAATTGACTATTAAAAAAATGTTGTTAGATCAAATTAAATTAGAGCACTCCTCAATTTATAACCTAGATAAACAAATTATATTTATCAAATGACATTTTCGTAAATAAGTTGCATTGAAAGTTGTGTTTTTTGATTAAAAATATATATATTTTAACTGTTTGTAGGCCACTATAACAAGTTGGACAAATTTTCAAAGTTAACACCGTAACCTCTCCGTTTGTTGCTATTCATCATCTTCTTCCTCCCACCTTCTTTTCTTCTTCTTCATT